GGGGGGGGGTCACATTGCAGTAGGCAGGCAGGCAAGGAGGGGAGGGGAGGGATGGGGCATTGATTGCGTGAGTGTGTTCGCGGCATGGCCGGCGTGGCGGACGTGCGGCTGACGAGGACACTCGGGCAGATCCTCTGACAGGGTGGCTTGGCTTGGCTCGTTGGCTGCCCCCCATCTGTGTTGGCTGTGCCTGGTGTGTTCGTGCTGTGTGTGTGTGTCTGTGTGCCCGCCCTTCGGCTTTATTTATGTGCAGTGAGTGAGTGAGAGTGTCCGTGTGCTGTGCGCGTTGTCTTTGAACGAACGCATGGATGGCATGATGAACGACACAAATGTGTGTGGAGACCAGACCACCATGAAGGAAGGAGTGGATGGACGGATCGGATGGGCGAGGTGACCGGTTGTAGCTTACAGGGGAGAGAGGGAGAGAGAGATGGCCACACATAACATACATACACTTACTTCTTGGATGGAATGGATGCAGTTTTGCGTATTTATCCCTGCTTACCTACCAGCAGTGTTTCCGACTGTTTCGTTCCTTCGTTTGTGTGTTCAGCATTTTTTGCTTTCGCTGTGTGCGGACCGGACCCTCTCACCTCCTCCCTCCATGTCTGTCTGTCCGACTGTCTCCCTCCCTCCCTCCTTAACTGCCTGTGTGTCCGACTGCCTGCCTGCCTGCGTGCATGCCATATCGATTCATTCGATGTCCCTCTCTCTCTGTGTGTGTGTACAGACCACCGACTCACTCGACAATGAATGCAATGCGTACGTGACGTAAGTGTTGGCTGTCAATGCTTTTTGTGCTTCCTTCTGCGCGTGGGAATCTCTCACACAAATCCCGTTTACCGACATATTTATTGAGTTGAAACCTAGCCACACGGTCCATCCATCCATCCATCCATTCGCACGCTGTCCATTCATTCGTCCACCCAAACGCACCAATGCACAAGAAATCCATCCATCCATTCCAACCCCGCCCCCTCTCCCAGCCCACACTCTCCCATACCCACACCCATACCTATCTACGTCTCCCTACCTGTTTCCCTCTCTCTCTCTCTCCCGTCCCGTTCACATGACTTCGTAAGACTGGTTCATCTTGCCGACGGTGAATGGGTCCCGCATCAGTCGGCTTTGCAGGCGGCTGAGGCTGCCCTGGTGGCCCTCCATGTGCCGCGAGGTGCTATCGTGTCTCTCATACGTGCCGTAGCCGTCCTCACCATCCTCGGCACCATCACCATCGCCACCCCCAATGCCATCTCCGTCTACCTCTAGGTCCTGGCTGCCGAAGGGTCGCGGGGTGGCACCGGGGATCAGCTCGATATCCCTGATGGATGGTGGACAACCACACACACACACACACACACAGAGAGAGAGAGAGAGCTCGTGTGTCGGTCTCGGTGGGTGTCTCGTTCTGTCTTGACGGTAGGGGGGATGTACCATCCTCTGAGGTCGATGTCGGCATCGTCCTCGCCGCCCCGTCCGTCCATGTTGATCTCACTCTTGGCGTCGTTGTCCTCCAAATCGTACACCGCCACACCGCTAAGGCTGCCCGTCGACCCACCACTCCCTCCCGTCACAGGCAACTCACCCACACCACCCACACCACCAGCAGCAGCAGCCGCCGCCGCCGCCTTGGCCACCACCAACCGCGAACCAAGCCGACGCTCCGACTCGTTGCTGCCACTGCCACTGCCGCTGCCACTGGCGTCTCGCCCCTTCTCAACCACCAGTGCATTGAAGGCAGGTTTCTTGGGTGCTCCTTTGGCGTGTCGCAGGTTGCTGGGGTTTTTGCTGACGGCCGTCTTGGTGGGCGTGACGGGCGGGACAGTGACGTTGTGTGAGAGGGGCGATGGCAGGGAGGGCGGGGAGAGGGCCTGCTTGGGCGGTCGCAGGGGGGCTGGTGCGGGGCCTTTGGGTTCTTTCGGTTCGATGGCCGTGGGGGCCTTGGCGGACACATTGTAGGTCAGGAACGGGGGCGACAGTGAGAGAGTCGGGCCTGGGGGAGGAGCAATCAGGAGCAATCCACATGGATGGACGGCAGTATTATGTGTGTGTATGTGTGTCACCTGAGAGTTTGCCCTTGCTGCCGGCGCTGACGGGGTCCACCTGCCACCGACGGCGGAAATTCTCCCTATCCTTGACATCTACATACCCTCCTCCGTCTTCCAACTTTGCCTCCCCCTTGCCTCTCTCTGCCCCTCCTCCCACCACCGGCCCCTCATCGCGATCGCCCCCTATCCCAAACCGCGGCAGCCCGGCCTCCTTCACCACACCACCACTAGTACCCAACACAGGCCCGCCCCTCTTGCCCTTGACCCCGCCACCACCACCGGGAGCACCAGCACCACCCACTGGCACCGGGATCGGGAGTGGGGGTGAGACGTTCACGTGGATGGTGTCCTTGCGTGTATCGTTTGTTGTGGTGGTGGGCACCACGGGCGGCGACAGGCCCTGCAGCTGGCAGCTGGGCGAGGTCTCCGTGGGCACGGCGGGGGGCGAGAGGGACGGTGAGATGTCCTCCTGCTTGATGAGAAAGGGCGCGGGCACCTTGGACGGCACTGCACTGGTCTGCTTGGCGCGGGTGAGGTGGAATGTCTCGAGCGCGGCTGCCGACTCCTGATGGTGACGGAAGAGATTCATGCGTCTCGCCGGCTCGCTGTGCTGCCCGTGCTCCTCCTGCCCCTCCTCTGCTAGCAATGTCTGCCCCTCCATGGCTCTGTTGGCTGTGTAAGGGTGGGGCTCCGTCTGCTGTGGCTGTGGCTGCTGCTGCTGCTGCTGCTGCTGCCGGGTCAGCAGTGTGCGGAGTTCCTCGTAGATCGGCTGTGGTGGGGCGTTTGTTAGGTGCGGTTGAGGGTGGGGGTGTGTGTAAAGGTATGGGGCGTAGGGGGCTGCGTATGGGTGGGCGTAGAAGGGGAAGGGCGGCATGGCGAACGGTGCCGGGGGAAACTCCCTGATGGATAAGAAAGACACAAACAATGAGACGTTCGGCGTGGTGTGTTCGTCATCACGTGTTGAATGTTTGTCTCATTGTGACCTCTTGACTGCGGTATTTGCGGCTTCCAAGGTTGCCGCCTCAGCGGCGGTCAACTCGTCTACACGAGAGCTCTGCAGACACCCGTTCGTCCGTCCATTGGTCGTCATCCATATGTGTGTAACATCGGATGCATCCATCCTGCTTACCAGCTGCTTGGTCTCCAACAGCAGCGACTCATACAAACACGTCTGCAGACAGACAGACAGACAGACACCACACCAACACCAACACCACACACAATGCGCGTCGCTATCTATCGCCCCCCTCCCTCCCTCTCTCGTACCATGGTGCCCATCTGGTCAGCCAGTCTATCCAGCTGCAGCCGCACCCCATCTATCTCCTCCTTACGCCCACCGTCACCCCCACCACAGGCACCGCCCCCCTGCCCCTGGACGCCCTTGTCCAGCTTCGCCACCACAGCCTGGCTCCCCGCATGCTGACGAGATGATGACGACCCACTGGTGGCCACCACCGCCATCGCCACAACCGGCTTGGTGCTGCTGTTGATGGTGTTGCTGTCTGGGTCGGTCAGCGCCTGGAATGGCACCTCAGGTATGGTGCTGTTGGTGTCTTGCTCTCTGGCCTGCTGCTGGTGTTGCTGGTGCTGCTGGTGCTGCTGTGGCTGCTGCTTGGGCGGGGCTGGGAGGGTCTCAGTCACTGCCACAGGGGGAGCGGCCAACGCAGACGGCGGAGAACGGCGCCCACTATCATACCGCGAAATTGCCTGCATCGATTGCATTTGGCGGGCAGAGCATCGATGAGAGCGCCCAACTTTATCTCTCTCTGCACACACGTCAGTCACGTCACCTGTGTGTGTGGCAGGGGCAGCGACGGCGCGCGTGCGATGGACTGCTGCGGCGAGGAGGCCGACATGGGGTTGGTGGCGGGGATGTGGAGGAGGATGCGCGGCGACGGCTGGCCCCAGTGGACCTGCATGAAGACTATGCCGTTGGGGGTGGGTGTGGTGGACAGCACGTTGGGCGGGGGCGTAAGGGGGTCGTGCGCGGACGAGGGGAACGGGCAGTAGGTCTCGATCTCGAGCAGCCGGTTGGTACCGCCCTCCCACACCACTCCGCCGTCACGCTCCTTGACTATCAACTGCACACACGCCACAACCACAGAACACAGAGCCACCAAACACTTAAAGAGATCAGGTCACTGGTGTCATTGCCCCCATGTGGCGTCTCTGCGGTCTGCTCTGCCGTTACCTTCCACTCATGGGTCCCACGCTGCACCGTCACCTGACAGAAAGGGGTGACACCATGCCATGATGGATGCAGCAGATCCCGTGGTCTCCTTGGCTTCGCCTTTTGCTGGCTGGGCTCTGTACATACCTGGCCCGTGAACCATGGGAAGGTGCCCTCTGCGAACAGCGGCAGTGCGCCGCGGGCATTCCACTCGCCCAGCGCACCCGACGAGCCTACCACATGCGGCTGGAGGGGGAAAAAAAAAAACCGACCACAGGCAGGGGCAAACATGGATGGAATGCAGCCAAGTCATCACATCATCCTATCCTGCAGTGGATCTGATCAATGTGGTCTCCTGTAGCCAGCCCACCCATTGGCCGTGCTGCGTCCAGTTCACGTTGCAGTAGAACTTGACCAGCACCTGCACAAAAGCAGAATCAAGGGCCATGCCGATGCAAACGTGACCGGGCTGCAAAACCGTACCATGCCGAATGGCGGCTTTGTCACATTATTACTCAAAACGCCCTGCCCATGGGCGGCGACTGGCGAGGGAGAGAGCGGTTTCGCGGAGGCCCGAACATGCGAGCTTAGAATTTCAGATCTATGGCACTCGCTGTCCATGGCTACAAGCTTCCTGCGGTCCAGGGTGCCTCCCTCTCCCGCCAGCCCGATTGGGAATGGGTAGATCTATCACAAATACCTCATAGGGCTGACACCAGACCTAACTGGCTGCATTTCGGCGTCTGTGAGGCCAACGTAGCGCTGGCAGACAAGTATGGGGTGGCGCTATTCGATGCCGATGCGGCCAAAGAGGATGCTGATGTTGCCGCGCAGCGGAGGAGGGCTTATCTGAGGCTTGGCGCTGAGCTGGGGGCGTCTGGTGACGCCATCTGTGGCATTGCGTGCGGTGAGGAGCATGTGGTGCTGTTCACGGAGAGAGGGAGGGCATTTGGATGGGTGAGCAACAGAAAGAATGGAGGACACCGGGACACCGGGAGGCAGGCCTCTTCTTCATCCAATGGTTGGCTTGTCTGCTGTCGTGTGTTCAGGGCCGCAATCAGTACGGCGAGGTAATGCACGATGCATGCCATGCAGACATCCAAATACCTAATTGGCATCCATCGCTCTTCCCCGTGTTGTGTTGTGTTTGTGCAGGTGGGTCAAGGCAACACTCGGCCAGTCGAGTCCCTGCAGCCCATCACAGCCACAAGACATGAAGGCTGCACGGTCAAGGGCGTCGCGGCGGCACGGTCGGCGTCATTCTTCCTCGTCGCGGAGGGGCCGACAGGCGGCACACCCACAGTGCTGATGGCCTGCGGTAATGAAGTGGAAATGTGTTTGGTCTATCTCTCTGCCTACACATACATTGATTGATGTGTTTTCGGATGAGTGCAGGTCTGAACAAGCAGGGCCAGCTGGGTCTGTGGCGCAGCGAGAGGGACTGTGCTGAGGGCAAGAATGAGGTCGTCGTGCAGCCCAGAGCGGTGCAGCTGCCTCTGTTGGGCGGCGAGGGTCTGTCCAGCGTTGCATCTCGGTCTGCCCACACCCTGGCTGTCACCGATCGGGGCCGCATTCTTGCCTGGTCAGCACAGCACCATACCATTTCACCTGAACTCACCCATGAATGGAATGTGTGTGAGAGTGCGTTAAGCAGGGGTCTGAATCTTCAAGGCCAGCTGGGTCTCGGCCACACGTCAGAGAAAGAGCTGCCACAGGTAAGGTAGAGATAGCATAGCGGCTCGCCACTTGTTCGTCTCCCGTGTGTGCATGTGATGTGTCAGAGTGTGGGCGCCTTTGCGAGCACCAAGGTTCGTCAGGTGTCGTGCGGCCTCTGTCACTCCATCGCTCTCACTAACACCGGTAGGCGTTGCATGCAATACAAACAGAGACTGCTGACAGATAGACACACAAATACATTGGATTCTTTCTTGTCCTTGCGTGGCCGTGCCGTGCCGTGCAGGTGACGTCTACACGTTTGGCACCCTCCCCAACCTGCCCTACCCCCAACCACTGCCAGACGTGCCAGACATGCAGCACAAACTCCCGCCCTTCCAGCTTCCCGACCATCGCGCATCTGCCGCAGCAGCTGACCACCCGGCCGTCGCACCGGCAGCAGCAGCATCCTCTGGTGCTCCCTTCAGTGTGGCCAAGGGACCCGAGCGTGTCAGCGGGCTGCCAAACAGTGTGGTAGGTGCGCTGACTCTACACACGGTGTCCACAACACAACACCGTGTGCGTGTTTGCAGTGTTGTGTGTCTGCTGGGAGCACATTCAGTGCGGCTCTTGCTGCGGATGGCGAGGGCAAGGCGAAGCTGCTCGTATGGGGTAAGCAGACAGGCAGAAGTAGGTAGGTATTGACGTGTGCGTGCCGTGCCGTGCCGTGCTCTGGACTGACTGGACTGACTGGACTGAGCTGCTCTTCTGGAATCGCCGCCGCTGTGGTGCTGAGCTGATTTATCCGCTTTGCTGGAGGGTCGGTTTGTGGAGCTGCTGAGGGCTGGCTGGCTGAATGAATGAAGGACAGAAGGTACGCCACAAGAATGAGGCAGCCAGTCGAAAGACAGCTGTGTCAGTCAATATTGTGTGTGCGTTGAGGAGCAGCCGCCTGTGTGGAACTGCGCCGCGGCCGGCACGTGAGAGTGATCCCTGGTGACCAACCAGCTCATGTATACGATGCATCTGCTGGAGAGCTGGTGATGCTGCGAGGGAGGCTGGAGAGCGTGTGGGGCGTTTTGTGAATAGTTCAATAGATGGGTGGGCGGGCGGCCGGAGTGTGCAGCAGGGCTGCTCCATGCAGACGAATGTGTGCGTGCGCATGAGACCGGACGGGTGTGGCCAACATAGATTTGGGCTGCGTGAATGGATGTTTGGCATACACGAGCGTCTGCCACCTGACAGGCGCTGCACGTTAATGTCTGTGTCGTGAACACCTGACGTGCAGACGGACTGCTAGCCCCTGAGGGCCTCCGCGCGTCACTGACTCTCTGCGTGGCCCCGCATGACGTGGTGGAACATGACACAGTGAATCGACTCTGTTAGCCCCTGAGGGCCGATCGTTTCAAAAATTGGGAACCATACCTTTCGGCAGGAACCACCGGAACTGGAGTAGTTTTCAACTAGCAATCAGCGCGCATCCGCAAAGCGTCATATGCCACGCTAACGCCCCAGCGCAGGGATGGCCACCTGTCGGCAACAGAAGGCAGGTCAACACAGATCTGCGTTCGGTGATGGCTGACTGACCCGACTGTCTGACTGTGTCTCTCATCGATGGCTGCAGATCTCGCCTCTCTGCCGCCACGACAGACACTTTGGGTGCATGGACGGCCAAACATATGCTCAGATCAGCAAGATGCCTGCCGGAAAAGGCAAAAGGGAGAATCATCGATCTCGCCAGCCATCACCGACTGCAGATCTATGTGTGCCTACCCCTCTCCCTCCATCATCAGCCATCGCGGTGTTCCGCTCATTCGCATCATTCTTTCGCCTTTTACTAAAGAATGCCGTGCGTGGGACCCAGTTAACGCGTCTGACGCAATTTTTGCACCCCCCTGCGCCCTTGGGCGTAACAAAGCATTGCCATTGAGAGGAGGGTAGTGCGTCGCTTCATGACGTGCATGGATTCATTCACAAAATCACGCTGAATGGATTGTGTGGCGAGATCCACGGTGGCAGCTTGCTAATGGACGGTGTGTAGGCAAGAGAAGGACAGGCACAAGCCTTCAGATCTGACGCTGTCGTTGCCGGCTGCGCGAACGCAAGCCAGCTCCTGCCAATAGCGGAATTGCTGGCCTGTTCTCGTGAGATCTACGGCTGACAGACGCGTATTCTCGAACAGAGACGCACAGTCACGGCATGACTCCCGCACAAAAACCCCGATGAAGATCTCTGGCGGGCAGATCACACATTCGTTGCCGGCTGCGCGAACGCAAGCCAGCTCTGCCAGAAATTCCGCTGTTGGCAGGAGCATAGCCCCCCCATGCCGCTTCACGTACCCCCGAATGCAATGGGAGCTCCACGACAGCACAGGGACCTTCGTGAGCGCCCCCGAGGCCCAGCCAGGTAAGTTTAAACAAAGTGTGGGAGCACGGGCCAGGCAGTAATAGATCTGCAGTCGGTGATGGCTTATAGGATCGTCTCAGTTTGTGTCTCATCGATGGCTGCAGATCTCGGCTTCCTGCCGTCACGACAGTCACTATGGATGCATGGATGCCCTGCCGTAGGCTCAGATCAGCGAGATCTCCGCGAGAAAAAGGAGGAAGGTCAAAGATCCAGCTCGCAATGATCTGCCCGCTAGGCGGCCCTCGTTTCATCCAGCCATTCATCGCTGATCGCTGAGGAGGCGTTGCATGCCCTCAAACTCGTCGCCCTTCGCCAGCTGGTGGCAGATCTTTGACCCCTCCATCAGCTCCGTGCCTGTCTTTGGCCTTCATATTCCTCCCTTTTGTGCGCGTGCAGGTCGTTGTATCTTTTGTGTGGCCTTCTGCTCCCCTCCGCGCAGTGCCGCAGTCTCATCGGCTGACGCGGCGAGAAGCCAGGCGGACAGGCAAAGAGGCACACACACACACACACACGTGTCACGACACGCGATAGGAGTTGTCCATCTGTCTGTCTGTCTGTCCGTCCGTCTGTGTCTGGCTGATTCAGGCCGGCCGAGTATGTGATTCAGCCACGGTCTCAGACAGCTGCCTGGCTGTCCGCTGTGGGGACGCAGCAGCGCTGCAGACTTCTCATAGATGGTCGCTGCACACGACACAGCACAGTTGCATTCATGGACGGCCAGAGAATCGGCGTCATCATCTCGCTCGTCTCGTGGGCTCTCTCTCCCTCTCTCTGTTTGTGTGTATGTGTGTGTGTGTGTGTGTGTGCCTGTGTCAGTGTGCGTGTGGGCGGTTGGCGGCTCCTCGGCTTCTCACTCACACGTGCGACCAGCCGTGGTGGCCCTCCTGCTGCAGGACCTATCTCGTGCAGTCCACTCAGCTCGTGCAGCACAATCAGCTGGGGCTGTGCTGTATGGATGTGGTGGATGGATGGATGGGCGGGCGAGTGGATCGGTTGGTTCCGGGATGCACGTAGCGTACGCACTGTGTCCGTCCTCTCCTGCTTGTGCCTATGTGGCTGTGCTGTGTGGTACGTGGTGGATGTGTGTCGTGCACGATGAATGAAATCAGTGGCGCCTTCGGGCGTGGGAAGGAAGGAAGAATGCTTTGATGTGATTGATGCACAGATAGGTGTCTGCTCGTGCATCTGGCTGTGACACCGCATGGCGGGGGTTCCTATGTGCGCTGTGCGTGTGAAAGCGGCGCCCTCGGGCGTGAGAGTCATTCACAGATTAGCATCGCGCCTCATCGCATGCTCCCTGGTGCCTTCAGGAATGGATGAATGGTCCATTTCTTCTCTGCCTGCCTGACTCATATCCTCTCTGCCCGCCTGGTTGGTGTGTTGTGTGACTGGGTGTGTGTGTGGTGTGGTGTGATGTGGTGTGGTGTGACACACAGGGAGGAATGTGAGGTGAGGACTCTGTGTTGCCAGCGTGTGTTGCGAGCGCATCAACTGCGTGTGGATGGGAGCGATTTGCTGCCAGCTGCGGTGCATATAAGGAGTCCATCATCCCTGACTGCGCGAACGCAAGTCAGCAATACATGGCATAAGCGGCACACACACATGAAGACCTTGTCACCAGCTGCGCGAATGCAAACCGGCTATCATGTGCAGCCAGAGGGCTACGCAATCAGTCAGATAGAAGCAATTGTTAGGCCCGAAGGCCCAGAAAAGGGTGTGCCACACTCGCCGTAGAGTGTAAGGGCGAGGCGACACGCGAGAGGGCGACAGGCAAGCCTGAACAACCGCTCTCCCCGGAGAAAGAATTCTTGTGACAATTCATGGTTCAATGAACCAATATCAGCTGTCACACTGATAAGAACAGTTACTACACTTGATCTTAGCCAAAAGGCCGAGAAGGTATACTTATTACTGATCTGACGGGGGGGTAGCCGACACAGATCTGCAGTCGGTGATGGCTGACAGGATTGTCACAGTTTGTGTCTCATCGATGGCTGCAGATCTCGGCTTCCTGCCGTCACGACAGACACTATGGGAGGCGTATATGCCCTGCCGTAGGCTCAGATCAGCGAGATCTCCTCCGAAAAGGAGGTGAGTTTTTGAAGATGAGCTCGCATCTTCGGAGGGGTCTCTCCTGCTCATCTGTTCATTCATCGCTTCTACGTCTCTGGAGTCGTTGCATGTCAACAACTCACCAACCTCCCCCTCCCCCAGCCAGCAACGACCCACCAGAGCCTCCGTAAGCACGTGTTCCTTCGGTGCATTTCTCACCGAGCCCCTGCCCTTTTGTGTGTTCTTGTGTCAGTGCGAAGCGAGTGAAGCCCTCCACCGAGTCGCCATCTCCTGCCCCAGATAGCAGCGCCATGGGTCCTCGTCGCGCCTACATCGCTCCGTCAGTGCTGTCCAGTGACTTTGCCAGGCTTGCCGATGAGTGCCAGAGGATGCTGGAGGCGGGGGCGGACTGGCTGCATCTCGATGTCATGGTCAGTCAGCCAGCCCACGTGCCACCAAGGAGAACAGATATAGAGGAACACAGGGGGCACGCACTGATGTGTGTGTGTGTGTGTGCGTGTGTTTCAGGACGGGTGAGCGATGTGCCCGGCCATTTGGGAGTGAGTGGTCCGGGACGAGAGTCATGTCTGCCTGTTGGCTGTGGTCAGTCATTTTGTGCCGAATTTGACGTTTGGTGCTCCTGTGGTTGCGGCCCTGCGGCCACACAACAAGGGTTTCTTCGACTGCCATCTGATGGTGTCGGACCCCCACAAGTGGGTGGATGAGTTCGCACAGGCGGGCGTCAACCAATTCACCTTCCACATCGAGGCGGCTGGTATGTATGGGTGCATGGATGTGTCCACACGTCCATGCGAGTGTCAATTGGGTAACGTTTTGTCTGTGCTGTCTCTGTCAGGCAGCACTGCCGAGGCGCTTGAGATCGCCAAGGACATCAAGGCGAAGGGCATGCAGGCAGGTTGGTACGTAGAGAGGCTGCTCGAGCTCATTTGTGTGTCACTCACTGACTGATACTGACTGCAGGCATCGTGTTGAAGCCCAAGACATCCATCGACGACGTGCTTCCCGTCATCGACTCAGGTACACACAACACCAATGCTGAGTCGATGTCGGTAGGTACTTGTCCTGTCCTGCGTACGTGGCGTGGCGGTGTGGTGGGCAGGTCTGATAGACACGTTGCTGGTCATGACGGTGGAGCCGGGCTTCGGCGGACAGAAGTTCATGGAAGACATGATGGACAAAGTGAGTGCGGACAAATAAATCGCCAACACACACGAGGCGGGCCTTGTTCTGTATGTGTATGTATGACGCCTGCACTCACTCCTACATCCCTCTGTGTATGTGTGTGTGTTTGTTTGTAGGTCAAGACGGCCCGTGCCAAGTACCCCTCGCTGACCATCGAGGTGGACGGCGGACTCACCGTCGACACAACAAAGGTGATAGATGGCCGAGTGGTGAAGTGTGCCCCACCCGCCCAGCACACACCTGTGTTGTCAATAAATACATCAGATTGCCGCGGCTGCCGGGGCAAATGCAATTGTGGCAGGTAAGGACCAGAGCACACGCTCAAATAGCCCCCGGTTGGCTTGACGCTGCTGTTGCGTGTTGGTGTGTATGTGAAGGCACGGCAATCTTCAAGGCGGATGACCCCGAAGCCGTCATCAAAGAAATGCGACAGGTAAGTGGGGTAGAGTGACGCACACGACGAACAAGCTATGTCCACCAAAGATGGTCATGTGTCCGTCTGCTGCGTTGGTGACAGAGCGTCGAAGAGCTCAGCAAGTAAGTGAGCGAGTGGGCGCCGCTTCTTTTGTCAGTATTGGTTGTTTCTCGTAAGCGGCATGGGCGATGAACGATCATTGTGGCCTGCACTATTGCTCTACTGACTGGTTGGCAGCAGTTTGGGCTGAGAGAGAGCTGCGTGTGGATGAAGGGATGAAGCGATGGATGGATGGATGGTGTATAGGAGGGTCGGTCGGGAGGGAGGGAGGGAGAGAGTGACAGCATATTTGCGCGGCGTGTTTTTGGTCGAGAGTGCTGGTCTGGCTGGCGATGCAGACAAAGAGTGGAAACGTCAGTGACGGCGTGCAGGTGGATCAACGCATTCAGTATTCACACACAGACAGACAGACAGACAGACAGAGTCTTACGGACACAGTGTCTGTCTCTCGGAATTCAAGGCATGCATCAAAGGGCGGCCAGACTCAAGATATGCAGAGAGAGGGAGAGGCAGGTTCGAGTGAGCTACACCAGACCCGCCCCGCCTGCCTGCCTCCGTCTATTTCTTCTTCTTGATGGGTTTCTTCACCCCCTTGCCGTTCCCATTGCCCTGCACACACAAACACCACACAAACACACATCCATCCATCCATCCATCCAGATCAATCTTGAAAGATATGAGGGCAACCCAACATCACTCAGGCAGTGCATATGGTCACTCACCGCATTTGGCTTCTTGCCGAAACCCTTCCTGCAAAGCATCACGCCCACAACATACGCAGCACAGCCATTCGCCCCATTATCCATCCATTCATCCATCCACCTACCCACCTGCTGGCTCCGTTGCCCATGTCACTGGCCGTCACTTTGCGCGAGCCCATCCCGTCGCCCATGCTATCCATGAGTGAGCCGGACAGCGCCCCCTCCCCCGGCAGCAGAGGCGAGGCGTCATACAGCTGCTGCGCCTCCTGCTGTGCCTGCTGCTGCTTGCGCGCCTCCTGACGGGTCGTGCGGCCCTGCCGAAGGTTGCCGTTCAGCGCTGACATGGGGTGCAGCAGTGGCGGACCCTCGGGGATGTTCTCCTGCACACAGCCAGGCACACACGGAGGCAGGCAGGCAGGCAGGCAGGCGTGTGTATGTGTTGGCTGGCCGACCCTCCCGGCCGTCGACTGACTGACCTCCTGAGCCTTTTTGATTTCGAGGAACTTCTTGATGATTTCGTCGGGGTTGATTTCCATCTGCTCGAAGTGCTCAGCCACGGCCTTGACGAGCACCTCCTTCGCCTGGCCTGGGTCAACATCCTCCAGGTGAAAGTGGGCCTGCTCAACACACAAACACACACAAGCGTGCTGTGCTGTCGCGGGCAGAGGATAGGTGCGTGCGAGTGTGTTGGCGGCTTACAACGTATCTCCTGAGGAATGAGAGTCCCAGTTTGGAGAAGTCGGCCAGCGTCCTTCGGGATGGCTTGGTCAATGTCGTCCCGTTGGCCGCTGATGCTGCCGATGCTGCTACTGCAGCTGCCGCTGCTGCTGGTGCGCTCATCGCCTCATCGACGAAAGATGCAGACACAGATGAGTATCGACTGATCGGATGTCAAGAGTATGCACCGCCAGCTGATGCAAACCAGAGTCCCTCTTTCTTTCCTTGAAGAGCTTAAGCTCGCAAGCTCGCGGCGAATCATGGCGAGAATGGGCGCCAGAGAACTTGGCGGCGAAGTGCTCTCATCTGGTGCCGGTGCTTAGCTTCTGACACTATGTCAAGAAGATCTTTCGCTTTCCGACTCATTTGTGTCCGTGCGGTGTCTGTTTTGACTTTGACTCATGCAGATCGATAGCCGCCTGAGCGCTGATGTCCGCGGAAGCCACCACCGAAGCGCTATCTGCCGGCAGCCCGACGGCAGACAGCAGCAGGCCCGACAAAGGAGATGCCAGCCAGCGGGAGCAGCCACAGCAGCAGGATGTGTGTATGAGTGGCGATGAGTCGTCCGGGAGCAACAGGGGCCCTGTCTGTGGCCGTCTAGATGGTAGCTCGTCTGCCCCGCTAGCAACATCTCCCCACAGAGAGCGCACCCCTGCGACTAACAGCGACAACGGGTCTCAGTTGCTCCTACAGCAGGTCCCCGTGGGCTCCCCACCCATCGGCATCCAGCGTCCGCCGATCCCTAGTGAGGGCGTCGACACCCATCAGAATCAGCAGCAGCCGCAGCCATCCGTCTCCCGCGCCCACTCCATGCATCTCACCGCCACCCACTCACCAGCAGGCAACGCATCAGCTGTGGGCATCACCATGCAGCAGCAGAAAGACGGATCAGGGCTGATGGGAGGGGCGGGGCACGGCGGTGTGCCTGGAGAGGATGACATCACTCTGGACGCCACATCGGTACAGACAGACAGACACGAGGGAGGGGTGTGCATGTGTGTGAGGTGTGGGTGTGATTGTCAGGACGGCAGCCGTCAGCCCCTCACTGCGTTCGACATCTTCGCATGTGCCCAACAGGAGCAGGCCGCCAACCCCACTCGCTCCACCAACCCATCGTCAATCGCAATCGCCGCAGCGGCTGCATCAGCGAATCGGCAACCAGCGGGTTCCTCTCGTCCATACCCTCCCTCCCCCCCCTCCCCCATCACATCCAACCAACAAGTCACGGCCAACGGGCAGCAGGGCCAGACGTCCGGCTCTGACGTTGTTGCCATCATGTCCCTCGCTGCCGATGCTCTGCTGGCTGGTGATATCGGCCCCTTCGCGAGCCATGTGGAGAAAGTCACGGAAGCGCCCCGCCTGCCCAACGACGATCCATCAGTCGAGGGCCTCGTGCGCTCACTGGCCAAAAAGGACAAGGCGCATCGACAGCAGGGTCAGGGAGGCCTCGCCGGCTGCATTGTTTCCATTTTCAAGGACAGCAGCCGCGACATAGAGCATCAGACTGCGGCGACGCGCTTCCTCAAATGGCTTTGTCAGGCTGGGTATCCCTTTGGTGTGGAGTGGCTGCCGCTGTTTGGTGTCTTGGTGGAGGAAAGGGTGAAGAGGCTGACACTATCGGACCAGAAATTCGGGGTAGATGTGGCAGTGGTTCTCAAAAGAATCCCAGGTGATCACATGATGAACCGGAAAAGAGGGCTGTCGTGTTTAAGTGAATCTGTGTGTGTTATGTGTGTAATTCAGTGACGGCTGAGGCGCTGGGGGCGTTTCAGCAGCACATGTTCTGCCACATCGATGCGCTCGTCGAGACCCTGGTCATCAGCAGTGATCAGGTGATTGTGTGGAGGGCATACGAGCTGATAGGCATCATCTTCAGAGACGCCCTCCGCTTCCCCTCTGAGCTAGGTGGGGGACATGTGGATGCCGCTGTACGAGCGTGTGTAGGCGTGTGCTGATGCAGGTGTGTTGGCGTCCATATGCTATAGTGTGTCAGCGAGCTCCGCTGCCCTGGGCAAGATAGCCACATTGCTGAAGGACCACGCCACCGCTCAGTGGCCGGCTTTCATCGTCTGGATCTATCTGAGTGTTCCATTGGCAATGGCTGGTGAGTAATGGTGCACGGTCCATGCCGCACATTGATATCTCGTGTGCGCACATTGATATCTCGTGTGCGTCTGTGTTTCCTCAGAATGTGGCTACTGCGAGCGTCTTGCGCAGGCGGGCTTCCTCTCGGCGGCTGTGAGCATCCTGCAGAGCGACAGACTGACCAAGGATGGCCGCCACGGACAAGGTGTCGTGACGGCTTCGGTTCATCTGCTCAATCTCATACTTGCTCGTAATTCGGTCAGTCAGAGTGGATGCGACGCGCATGTATGAGCACTCGGCACTCCTGTTTTCACTCAACTTCAGTATGCTTCGTGCGAGGGCCTGTCCGAGGTGATGTGCTCTCTGCTGTCGACGGTCGCGACGAGTGACGCTGCATCCGCCGCCCCCGATGGCAGCAGCATCGGCATGGCAATTGGCGTCCTGGACAGCCTTGCCAGGTGCGTCTGTCCTTCATCTCTTTAGTGCACCGAGTGAATTGCCTTCATATGTGCAGCTGCTGTGATCGGCAGCTGATGAGTGGCAAGGCCAAAGACAACCCGATCGTCGAACGGATTCTGCAGGTCCGGAAGGGCCGATGACCGAGTCCTCGGTCACCTGTATGCGTCTCTTGCTGTGTGTGATGCCCTTCATTTTGCAGGTGGACATCTCTGCCCTGTCCGGGCCCCCCACGGCGGCCTCACAAGACAGTCTCATACAGGAGGTGAATGAAGTGCCACCAACACGCACGCCCACAGGTCTGTGCACCGTGCACCTATGGTTGCAGATTTTGGATTTCTTCGCCAAGTATCGCCGCCGCAAGGTCTGACCATCATGTAGACCGATCGATCACTGCTCGCCACTGTGTGTGTGTTTGTGTGTGTGTGTGATCCGTGTAGGAGGCGATCGATCGGTGGGTCTCATCGCAAGGCGACCCCCACAGAGAGGCTGCACAACGGCAGAACAAGCAGGTGGGTAGAGAGCGACCATGTGTGACCGACCCCTCACGCTTGTGCTGTGTGTCTGTCAGAATCGGCTGGTGCGGTGTTTGTCGGACAAGAGAATCCTCCACACCATCTACCAGCTTGGTGGGCTCTACTACTTCTCCTCCAAAGACCTCGCTATGCTCGTGCTCTCATGTCGAAGTCTGCTACACGCGTAAAGAGTCATTCACACACATACAGATGCAAATACACCCCGTGGCCACTGTGTGCTGGCTGGTATTAGGTTGTGTCCCGTCCGCTCGACTGACCGCATCTCATCGTATGCCAATCGCGAGCTGCTAGCGCCATTTGCATTGATCTCAGTGAGCAGGCAAAATCGGCTGGTGGCGACACTGGCGAGGTATGTTGATGGGAAGAGATGACGGACAGCAATTCACTCATGTTCGCGGCTTCCTCCCTGCAATCAGGTATTCACCCTACATGATGTTGACATTGTCGATCCGCTGGGAGTGCTCACCGACCGCCGATGACGTCAGCGACCTCATCGGCTTCCTCCAGAGGGCAGAGAGACTCACGGCACTCACTGTGGCAGGTAAGGCGGTCATAAGAGAGCGCGCACGCTGTCGCTGATTGTCAAGGTATGTGTGGCGCTCAGGTGCGGATTTGACTTGCCTGCCTGATGGGGAGTGCGCCCAACTCGTCAATGCCATCGGTCGCCTGCCCTCACTTGCCTCGCTGCGCCTAGAGGGCGTAAGCCTGAGCCGTGCCTTCGCCGACCGGTTGAGTGCCTTGCTCAAGGCCCGGCCAGAAGGATACGGCAAGGGCAGCAGCGGCACCAGTCCCTCCCCTCCACCGTCATCATCGCGTGACGTCACTCGCATTCCCAGCACATCGTCCACTGTCGTGCCGGCAGACTCAGCGGAGGAAACAAAGGGGAGGACAGAGGCGGGGCGGACGGCCGACACAGGGCACGACAAGAAAGAACCGCCCTTCACGACACTGAGGTATGACTTCACGGCGGAGAATGGGAAACCGAGGCATTCACTGATGACATGTGATGCGTGTGTGCAGGCGAATGGCACTCTCTCTATGTCGTATGTTGTTCAATCCCTATCTAACCTTGCTCGAGGTCGGCCGCCGAATCCATTTGACAGACTGGGCTGTACTTGTATGTGGCGTATCGCTTGCAGGGCCTCTGTGGTAGGTCGTTTGAAACTCTAAGTCTGTCCGATATGGTCTTGACCAAGTCTGAGGGCGAAACCTATCGATACGACCAACTGAAGGTCTGAAATAGCACTAACCACACTGAGACAGCCTTGCTGATAGCCTTCTCTGTTGGCATCTCTCTGGTCCGCAGGGTTCGATGGAACGCCTCTTCGGGACCATTGTGTGCAGGGACATCCATCTGTCTTTCTTCCCGGTTGGCGAGTTTCCGCTGCCCATCGTTGAGGACACAGTCGTGTCCGCCGCGACGGCTGCCCTCAAGACCAATCCCAATCGACGCAGTCTCAAGTAGGTCACACAAACTCGTGTGTCTGCGAGCGAGTATGCAGCTGGCCGTGTGTCCCTTCAGGAGCCTAGGTCTGCCTGTCACCGCAAACACCGTTGTGTCCCTCCTTCGACTCGCATTAGAGGACCTCACACTCGCAAGGCTCTCTCTGTCATGTACGCGAAGTGCAGAAGCGATGTGGATCGATCAGATGCGTCTGCTCCACACCTGTTTGTTCCTCAGCACGCGTCCCGCTGGGCAAGCTCATCAGCCAGCAGTTCCTGTCGAGTGGTGACTTTGCGTCATTGGTGCAGGGGGCTGTCGACAGGGCCGATGCTGAGCGTGAGAGTGAGCTGCGAGCCGCGCATGAGGTCAAAGACCGTCAGTGGGCGGCCGATGACGCCCGCCTGCCGCCAGCAGCTGACGCAGCTGAGGAGGACCGACGGGCGGCGGAGCGGCAGAGGAGGGAGGAGAGGCTGCGAGCCAAGGAGACGGAGATCAGAAGCGAGCCACCATTCGTTCTGGACCTCATAAGTACGTGAATGCGCAGAGAGGGCATGTCAGCTTGTGCGACTATGCGCTTGTGCGTGTGGACCCCTGCAGGCGTTCCTCTCGTCGATGTCTCCTCTCGTCGATGTCCTCTTTTCGCATTCGATGTCTTCCTTCCGCTCATCGAATTCGAATACGTTGGAGGAATCAATGAGAATTACGCCTACAAACAGCCAGTCATCGTGACAGGTGAGCCAACTAGCTAGACTACCGCCACCCCGTCTCTCTGCCCGCTTGCCTGCCTCCTGTTTAGGTCTCCCGTCCGTGCTCGAGACGCGCTATGAGCAGGACTCTTCGTCGCGTCTCCCAAAGCACCTGTGCTGTGCCCTCGTGCGGTCTTACAACCCCCTCGCCCCCTCCACATGGGTGCAGACGGTCATGAACAGGGGGTTCCTATTGCTGCAGCTGTACTGGGACAGCATGTCACACAACCGCGGCCCCGACTCAGCAAAGTGCTTCCAGAACCCCTTCTCTGTGACCGAGCTTGAACTGTTCGCGTATCGGCAGTGTGTTGCGCAGCTCGAGGCTCTCAAGGACTGCTCTGCCATCAACAACATCACTCAGGAGGATGTCGATGCATTACGTGCCGCCCTCACTGGTGAGTGAGCTGAGCAAGGGAAGAGGGCAGGGACACACATCTGTATTTTCTCCTTCGTTGTGTTATGTCAGAGGCCACCAGGCTGGTGTACCAGAAGGACCCCGCTATCAGTCAGGTGGAGAGGCACATGGCGCAGATGGCGGCCGCTATCAGTCAGCAGGAGAGGCACAGGGCGCAGATAGCGGTACACGAGATCACGTCTTGCGGATAGTCTGGAGCCGTCACTGTGTGGTTGTCAGTGTTGTGTTCAGGATTTGCACGAGAAGCGCAAGCAGCTTGAGGTGATCGAGAAGCTGCGGGTGACGCTGCAGACCAAGCTAAACAACCTCAGGGTGCAGAGGGCCAAGGCCACCGCGTCCAAGGCCGACAAGGGGAACGTCGACAGCCAGATCACGTGCCTCATCGAGCAAATCAGCAAAAACACAGCGGCAAGAGCAGAAGTGGTCAGAGAGATCGGTACGAATAGCATTACCAGGCGCGTACCGCTCTGCCTGACCAAATCTGACATACATTCAGCTCCGCCTTTGTATCAGATGCGCTTCATAAGATGGTCACCGGCGAGGAGCCCCTCGTGGAGGACCAGCCCAAGAGCCTCTGTGACTTCGTCCGCGAGGAGCTGCGTGAGAGGCTCGAGAGCAGGAAGAAGGAGAAGGCTCGGGAGCAGCGGCGCATGGAGCGCCAAGCCGACAAGACGACCGACGAGGCCGTCAGTTCCGCCATGGCAGCCAGGGAGGCGACGGCGCGCAAGAATGAGAAGGACCTCCTGAGAGAGCTCGACGTGCAGTTCTCAAGCGAGGAGGACCAGCCGCAGCATGGTGGGGGCGGGCAGCAGGGGGGCGAGGGCGGCAAGAAGGCCAAGAAGAAAAAACGGCACAAGAACAAGAAGCCACAGGCTATCCCTGCCGCATCGGCCAGCCCTCCCCCATTGGTCGCAGCAGCACCATCCATTGCGGAAGACGGCCGCCCATCTGTGCGTGAGGGGGAGGGAGAGGCTGATAGTGGTCTCGAGCTCGTGGACAGCGAACCATCCAACAGCCCCCTTCATGGCCCAGCTGCCGCTGCTGCCGCGAGCGCTGTCAGTAAGTCTCTGGATCCACTTTTGCCCGATGGCGGGCATGAGTTGGATGACCTGCTGTTGCTTGATGGTGTGACTGAGCATGGTGGCGGTGGCGATGAGCGTCTGGCTGGTCAGGGGGCTGGAGAGACCGATGGAGGGGCGGCGGGCGGTGACGACGGGCGTGTGAGTGGTGGAGGGGAGACTGAGGCGATGCGGGCCAGGTGAGAGGCAGCTTAAGGCAGGGTGTCCACGGTGTCTCAGTGCCGCTCGCTGTCAGGTTTGCTGCTGAGCTGGCGCGCAAAGACCAGCAGATCGAAGCATTGCAGTGAGAGAGGGAGGCAGGGAGGGGCAGAGAAGGACACACTCGTTTGTCTCATTTGTTGCAGGCGTGCGTTGATGGAGCGGGATATGGCAGCTCAGCAACAGCTTCATGCTGCCCAGCAGGAGACTCACGCCGCCCGTCAAGAGACTCTCGCCGCTCGGCAGGAGAGCGAACGGTACACACACCAACACATCACCTACACACATCAACCATGTGTTGTGTGTAGGTTGCGTGAGGCCCAGGTGGCCGGGGAGCAGACCGTCAACGACACTCTGGCGGCCAACGAGCGGCTCCAGGTTGACATGCAGAAAGCCAATGAGGTCTATTGTCAGCAGCTTACGCAACAGCGCCAGCGGCTCACCAGGTATGTAGGTACACATGGGAAGCACACACGGCCACGTGCGCCTCACCGCCTATGATGTGCTCTCAGTGACATCGATCGCGAGAGGTCTGCCCGTGAGCAGAAGGAGGCCGAAGTACGCCAGCTGCAGCACCACTTCGAGAGATACAAGAGGTCAGCCAGACGGCACTCATTCACCCACTACACAATGAGTGGGCCTCACTCTGTGTGTGTGCTGTTCGCGTCCTTGTCCGTCAGTGCTGCTGGGGAGAGGGAGGCGTCACTCAGACAGGAGGTCGCATCGCTTAGGGAGGAGAATGCCAGGTACGTAACCGACAGGCGGCCAACGCACACTCCGACAGAGCGCCATGACGTTCATCTCCCTTTGTGTCTGTCAGCGCTGGTGAGGCCAATCGTGCGTTGCAGGCCGACATAGATCAGCTACGGAGCAACCACATCCACAGGTCAGCACCCAACCACAGAGGCGGGCAACACCAGTGCATGTCCTTTGATGTGATGTGTGAGTCATTCAGGTTGACCGAGACCTTCAATGGACTGACCACTGCAGACGAGCTAAGCGGCTTTGCTATGCAGCTAGCGGATCGCCAGACGGCACTCAGCGACGAGCAATCGCAGCTGCAGTCACTCGAGCGGCGGGCTCAGCAGAGGGCACGCGAGAGGGGTGAGGCCGAGCTTCGTCAAGAAATGCGGCAGCAGATGCAGCAGAGCAACCAGAGGGCGAGAGCGGAGGCGACCGAGTGTCAAGTGTGCCAGGAGAGGGAGCGGTCGGTGGTGCTGCAGCCGTGCGGCCACTTCTGCATCTGCCTTCAATGTGCTCAGACCATGCAGCCGCGCGAGTGTCCACTGTGTCGGCAGGCCTTCACCAACTGGACCCCCGCCTATTTCTCGTGACAACAGATCGACCCACTGTCTGTGTGTGTGGAGAGTTGGGTGTTGGTGGTGGGGCTGTGGTGCGGTGGAATATGTGTGTCGACGGCGGGCATGCTATCATGCTGATGGCCAGGAGGGATTTGTTGCTGTGTGTTCGTGTCACCCAGAAGCAGCCTTTATGGCTTTTTGACTCCTCGCTGCATAGCATAGCACTGTGTACGCCTCCTCCTTCATGTCGACTACCTGCCACGCTGCCTGCCTGTATGCGCCTCACACCGACGCGATCATGGGGGCGGGGGCGATCGATGCGTCTGCGAGTTCTGTTGTGGTGTGGGTTTGTCATGAAGAAGAGAGGGCTGCCTCGTTGCCTTGGTGCTGGTGTGCACGGGATCGCTGCCTCGGTGTCTGGCGCTGTGTACCGATGACTGACTGTATCGATGTGTACATACATACTCCTATATATAGATGTATAGCCATCCGTTGATCCGACCCGTCTGTGGGATCTCTGCATACATGTTCTCTCGAACGACACACAGACACTCGCCGTGATGCATACAAATTGAATTGCAATCGCCGCGTATAAGCAGACCCTCAGAAAGAGTGCAGGTGCTTGTGCATCGCTTATCCCGTCACACATCGATCGCAACCATCGTGGTGCTCCGGTGCACTGGAGCGCCAAACGGTCACGTCGAACCAGTGACGGCATCAGTGATGCACTGACACGCACGCACTCACGCTCATTGCTGTACAAACAGCCCACATACGCTTTCACTGTCTCCGTGTGCGACTGGGGGTGTGGCGGCAGCGATATGACAGCGATGATGACATTGTGGCGCTCCAGTATACTGGATTGCCACAATGTTACCATCGCGGACGCTACGGTGCCACACACACACACCACTGTACAGTCAGCCGACTGGCCAAGAAACCAGGTCATTGGCGAATCTCCCCAGCATCCGGTCGAGCATGTTGCTCGGTCACTTTTTCTTCTTCTTTTGTTTCTTGGATGCTGTGCTGCTGCTCGCAGCTGCCGCGGCGGCCGCATCGCCATGCACCCGCGACTTGAGCTTGGGGATCAACTCGCCCATCTTGAGCATCAACGCCTTCTCTGATGACCACCACACCCGTGACAGACAGCCAGACAGAACACAGCACGGCAGATGTCCACAAGATGATTCACACATGGGCATGGGTGGGCTCGCATACGTACTTGTGGGCACTTCCGGGTTCCACAGCGTGTTGTCTGGCTTGGTGAGGCGGAACCGGATGCGGCCGACGACCATCCAGTCACGGGGGTACTGCTTGAGCTGACACACACACAAGACAGAGAGAGGGACACTGCAGTGGATCCTTTCCCTCCGCCCCTCTCCCCCTCCCTGTCTGTCCACTTCCTCACCTCTGGTTTGTGTTCGACGCCAAGATGCTTGCAGATTTCGACCATCTCCTGGAGCTTTGGTGTTTCGACGGCATTTGCGAGTGGGATGCGCCTGCCCTCCGGCAGCGTCTTCTTCTTGTCGATGTAGTTGGGGTAGATGATGTTCCACCTCGACACGTCCGGCTCGTCGGCACTCATCTGAGCCATCATCGCGGGCATCATCCCAGCTACCACTGCCGGATCCAATCTCATCGCGACTCCCGGATCCATGGCAACAGCACGCAGATCGGCAACACGAGCCTGGGAGGTTGACAAATACGAAGCGAGCTCAACTCAGCAACTCGAGCTAAGCTCGCTCGAGGTAAGTCCACGTCAGGCGCATCGCTTTGGTTCTCTCCACATTTGCTGAGGCATGCGTCACCGAGTGGACGTCCGAATGTGAAGATCTTTCGTCAAGCGCTTACCATTGCATCTCATTGGGGCAGGACGGCACGCAGAATCAAGCTGGCAACACTGTGCATAGAAATATGAGCGTCGAGGACACCCGCCGGCCCGTGCCTGCTGTCCCTCCGGCATGACAGCGTTCCAACGCCGATGACGTCAGCCATTCTGGCGGCATCTCTTCTCTGCCCATGGCCTCGTGACATGAGCTGACACAGCCATTTATCCGGTTCCCCTTTTCATTCTCATCCCGCCACCCCTCCACCTATTTGCTGAATTCGCCCGCCCATCTCTCTCTGTCGCTATCGTTCGTTCCTCAATGTCGGCGTGTCCATCCGTCAGGGCCATCGTGCGTGACCAGAAGAGCCTCACACCTGAGGCGGGTGGCGCGGGGCCGCTGGCCAACGTGGGTGTCACGTGGGCGGAGGACGACATACACGATGCCATCGTCAACTTCAGATTCACTGATGGACAATACCAGGTAGGTACATCCGCCCAGGAAGAGTCACGCGGTGAACAAACGGCTGGCTGGATGTGTGTGTGCGGTCCATTTGTTTCCTTCCCCTTTTGGTGTGCACAGGGAGCGATCCTTCATTTCCACGTGCATATGTCGGAGCAGTATCCTAACCAGGCCCCCGAGATGTCCCTCCTCACCCCCTTCCTCCACTCACACGTCTTCGGCAGCCGCATCTGCTTCTCCCTGCTCGACGACTTCCGCACCCACTTTCAGCAGCTGCAGGCGCCGTCAAGCGTCTACTGGCACGCGGCCCTCACCTTCAGGCACCTGCTGTTGGAGCTCTACTTCTTCCTCCACTGCGACATCGACAAGGAGAGGGAATTCACCCCCAGGGAAATACAAGACATGATCGACGCCACGCGGCGCTTCGTGTGTCCGAGGGAGGGCTGCCCCCATACAGGCGCCCACCCGTTCCCCCCAATCGCCCCGTCGGTCTCTCCGCCAGAGCCGCCCTCTCGGCTGTGTGTGGACGAGAGATGCGCGCAGCCGTCGGCCGGGAGGGGGGAGGAGGAGGCGCCGGTGGGTGAAGCGGCGCCCAGCTCTGTCAAGGACGACAGGGTGCCCTTCAGCGATGAGGAGCTGGACGGGATACTGACGCGGCTGGGCTTCGAGCCCGGACGCATCAAGCGTGACGAGAAGCAGCGGATGGCCGAGAGGCTCATGTTCTACCGATGCTTTACCACAAAGGAGGTCTTCAACGCAGGTAGGCAAGGCAAACACACACACAAACACACACACACACACACATAAACGACAACCATGAAGGCAGAGAGGACCCATATCTATGTGGTAATTCATTCAGGTAAGGAGGTGCCGTGTTTCGGTGTTCGTTTCGCCAAGGACGAGAACAACACGCCCAACCTGCACGTGGTGCCGTGCGTCATCTTCAAGGACAGCTTCGACCAGCTCATCGCACAGCAGAAGCCGCCACAGCTCCCACCCACAGCCGGCCAGACGGGCTTCCCGAGGCGGTCGTCATCGCCCCCCGCCCAATACCCCAGTGTCAAGACAGCGTATGGGGACATCCACTGTGTGGTGCCGTACGTCATCACCTACTACTGGTGGCAGAGGAGCGCCATGGATATCACCAGGAGGACCATAGACGAATCCCTCTCGGTAGGCACGCCACGCAGTCTAGCCGCCGCGGAACACAACCAAGAGGCAGCGTCCCTGCTTCGTTTCTTGTCTCCTTGGTTTCTCAGCGCTTTCTGCCCAAGGTCTACAGCCAGAGGAGCGAACACGAGGTGGGTGAACTGACACGCTCACAGCCTACATATTGACTGAGACTTCACCATCCTCTCTCTCGATGGCTGCACTCACTGCACGCGAACAGAACATCTTGACGTTCATTGGCGAGTTGTGGAAGACCCTCTCTGTCGACCTGGGCAAGGCCGGCGTGGTCGACAAGCCCCCCATCCGGCAGGGCTCCATCAACTTCGCCTCCACCGACACACCCGAGCCCGTCTATGCGTCCGAGAGGATCCTCTCCGCATACACGTCGCTCTTTCACATTTTGCTGGGTACGTAACTAGGAATGGGATGTCTTCTTTCATCACACCGGTGACCCATATATGTGTATCTGTATGTGTTTGTGTGTCTGTGCCGGTTTCCTGCAGCGTTCGGCGAGCGCGACAACACACTGAGGAACTACTGCAGCACCTCGGTGACAGCCTTCATATCCGAGCCCCAGCAGCGCGTCAAGTCACGAGTGCCCGATTTCGGGAGGTTTATCGTGCGCTTCCTGCTGGCCGACAACCGCTGGGATGTGCGGGCATCGCAGGCGCTCATCCGCGAGCAGCTGGCCCGCTCGATCTTCTGGGTGCTGCGCAGCTTTGGCGACTTGGACATCGACAACGACCCACCTGATGTGGCGGTGGCCCGGTGCTTCGAGGCGGCTCAAGTCGGCATGCGGTTGACGGCCATCCAGGCCATCTTCCCCGTGTGTTTCTCCAACCTGACAGCCCTGAAGTGAGCAAGACAGACGTGACGTCCACACCTGGAGGGAGAGGGAGAGGGAGAGCGCCACTTATGTGGGTGTCTGTGTGGTGTGTTTTGATGGTGTGCAGGCAGTTTGACCAGCATCTGGGCGTTCCCCCCAAGCAGATGGTGCTGACGTTTCAGGACACGACCAAGGAGATCCAGGCCATGAGCAGCTACGCCGAGTTCTTCACGAAGCTCGGCTTCTCGTCCCCCTCACACGACGTCACAGCCATACACGAGATGCTCAAGCAGGCCGTGGCCGACTCAAAGCGATCGGGCTACCACGGCACCTGTGATGTGTGTGCGGAAGACAGCGGCCGCGCAAGGATATGCGTCAAGCACCAGTGTGCAGTCGAGGGCTGCTTCTTCCGAGCCAACAAGTTCTCAAGTCTCTGCAGGGTCCATGGGCAGGTCAGCATCACTCACTCTCACGCACAGCACAGACATAGAGAGAGAGATGGAGGCACCCGGCCGGCACCCCCAATATGTATGAATCATTGGCATGTTACTGGTCTGCATGCAATGCAGAATTTGGAGGCGTTTCTGGGGTATTTGCCGCACCACTCCATCCCGCCCCCATGGATGCACCAGCGCCTGCAGAGACAAGACGTCAGGCCCTCTCCTGCCAACACCACGCCATCCCCCGAACCACTCCCCCACCAGCTTGCTGCTGTGGCCATTGAGCCCTTCAGCCCGGCCCCTGCCGAGTCCACACCGCTCCCAGTCCCGTCTCCACCTGACCTGCTTCGTGTGCCTGTCCTACAGCCCGAGTACAGCAACGAGTCGCAGCCGTCCTTCGCATCCACGTCCCCATCGCGTGCATCCAACATGGCCGCATCGCCGACTGGCATGTCGTCGATGCCGTCAGAGGTCAGCAGTCAGCCGCTGGAACGGATGTCCACAACGCCCCCCGTGTCCGGCCGGGAGCCCTCGTCCTCCGACACGCCGCCACAGCTGTCGGGCAGCATCACGGCGTCGAGAGGCGTCAGCGGCGCCAGTGGGGTCAGCCTCTCGCTGCTCACCACACCCGGCAGGAGTAGCGGGGAGGGCCGTTTGTCCGGCGGTGGACTCGATAGCGCGCCACAGACGCCCGCTGTGGCACAGCCAGGTGATGAGGGCGTGACGCCGACACCATCGGAGGCCACCGTCAGGAGGCGACTTCCGCGGCCGTCTGATGGGACGGCTGGTATGGGAGGGCTTGACCGGACGGCCGTCGAGTGCGCGCAGTATGCCGAGCTGCAGCTGACGTACCCAAAGCTGTGCGCCACACGCCCTGGCGGCGATGGGTCGACACTGCTCATCGTCGATGGTCTGCGGGTGATGGTGGACGTGCCGGTGGAGGGCGGCGGCATCAAGTGGCCGACCCACCATCACAGACGAGGGGGCGGCGGCTACAGCAGCCGAGGGTACAGCACGGGAGGCGGCACGTCTTCCCCGCCGAGCACCATCCTGTCGACCCCCGGCAGTCTGCGGAGCCAGCGTCAGTTCCACAACCAGCCCCCCGGCGGCCGTCGTCCGTTCCGCAACAATCAGCGCACTCCAAGTGCCTCTTCGCTCACCTCGCAGCTGTCATCGACATCCGAGTCGTTCCGCCACCCACCAGGAGGCGGCCC